AAAAAAAAAAAAAAAAAAAAAAAAAAAAAAGGGAAAAACAAGGAAAAAAAAAAATCTCAATGAAACAGAAAATTCCCGTGTGGGAATTGTGGAATTCTGCCCTGGAAAGGAAAATGTTTGGGAATGGTGGAGGAGGGGGGAATTTGGGAACAAATCTTGGGTTTATTCCTGCTGCTGGATCCCCTTTGGGATTCTCTGAGGCCTTTTGGATCTCCTTGGGGATTCTGGAATCCCTGAGATCGGTTGGATCCATTTTGGGATTCATGAAATCCTGAGATCTTTGGGATTCCCAAATCCTTGAGGCTGTTGGATTCCCTTTGGAATTCTCAAATCCCTGAGATCTCCTGAATCTCCTTTGGAATTCCCAGATCCCTGAGAGATCTTGAATCCCTTTTGGAATTATGGAATCCCTGAGATCTCTTGGATTCCCTTTTGGAATTCCCAAATCCCAGAGATCCACGGGAACCCCACCCAACCCTTCGACTCCCACAGATCCCTGGGGATCCTGGATCCCATTTTCCCATTTTCCTGCTCTTCCCGAGCTTTGCTGCATGGGCTGTTCCGGGGGGGCTCCGGCCCCCGGGTCCAGGGGGTCCCTAAAGCCATAAAATTCCCGCTCGGAGCCGCCGGGATTTTGGGATTTTTCTAGGACACCGCGGATAACGAGGAAGCACCGTTGTACTTTAGATTTTAGCAACTTGTAAAATAAAAAATTTAAAAAAAAATAATCCCGGATTTTCATGGGAAAATTCCCGCGGTGGAATTCGGGAGCTGTGGTGTGGGGTTGTTTTTTTGTTTTTTTTTTTTTTTTTTCTTGGATTTCGGGATTTGGATTTTTGCCATGGAAAAGAAAAAAAAAAAATACCAGAAAAACAAAAGGGGGGGTTGGAATTTTTTTCTATCCAAGGTTTTTCTTCCTCAGCATTCCCAACTTGGAAAAAAGGTGATTGCCCAAATTTTTTATATTCCAGGGATTCCTGTACCTGCCATTCCTGAGGAAAATGTAGGAAATCCAAAATTCCAGCGGATTTGGGATTGGGTTTTATTCCATGTCCATTTTTATCCTCATTTCTGGAATTCTCCCTTTACTCCTGGATTCCTCTGGCCAATTATCCCTTTATTTTGGAGGGAAGAATTGGAATTGACTTCCCAAAATTCAATCCCAGATGGAAATCTGGGAATTTGGGCTACAGGAGGGGGGGTGAAATGGAGGAAATTTGGGGAGATTTTGGGAAAAAGTTCCAAATTTGGCTCCTTTTTCCCCTTCCTTTGGGAATGACGGAGAGCAGGGTGGGATTTTTTTCCCCCCATGAATTTGTTGTGACTCAAAATATTCCGGAATAAATCCCAAAATGTAATAATGCTCACTAATCCCGCCAGCGGAAGGATCTGGAATAGATAATTAATAATTAACTAATTATTAATTAGGGGGTTGGCATTGGAATGACTATAAACAGAGAATTCCCAGGATTTCAGGGATCAGGATGCATCTCATGGATCACCCAAAGCCGGATCTCCTCCCTCCTCTGCCAAGGTTTATTCCCAAAAAATTCCCAGGAAAACGGAAGAACAGGAAAAGAAGACAGCAAAAATCTGGGATTTTTTGTGGATTTTCCATGGAATTTCATGGGTGGAGCATCTTCAGACGCACGAATCCAAACTCTTCTTCATTCCCACCTGGGTTTCCTGCCCCAGCATCTTTGGATTTCACTGGAACGTTCCAGGAAAACTCAGCCGTTGGATCGTGTCCCTCTGGAAGGAGAACAGGCCAAGGACATTCCCAGATTTATTTTTCCCTCGATTCCAGATTAAATCCGAGTTCTTGGAGTGTCTTCGGCAGCCTGGGAAGAGCCATGGCCACACGGGAATTCCCATGGAATTATCCCGAATTCCCATGGAATTATCCTGAATTCCTATGGAATTATCCCAGATTCCCGTAAAATTGTGCCAAATTCCCATGGAATTATCTTGAATTCCCATGGAATTATCCCGAATTCCCGGTCACCGGAGCTGTGGGATTGGGAAAAGAGAATCATGGAATGGATCCCGCTGCGAGTGAAGCCAAATTTGGAGGGACAGGAAAATTTGGGCTCTTAGGGAATTTCCAGCCCCGTTTTCCTCGCGCGGCTCCCGTGGGATTTGCCGGGGGGGGGAATCGGAGAATCGCCGCCCACGTGACTGCACCACGTGATTTCTCGCGCGCGAGAGCTGGGCGGGCGGCGCGGCGCCGTGACGTCATCGAGCAGCGCCGCAATGGCGGCGCCGAAGGTGAAGCAGGACATGGCTCCGCCGGGCGGGTACGGCCCCATCGACTACAAACGGCACCTCCCGCGCCGCGGCCTCTCAGGTGAGCCCGGCGGGCGGCGCGGAGGGGCGGACGGGGAAGGCGCCTCAGGGAGGGCGCCGCGCTGAGCGCCCCCCCCGCTGCCCTCACTGCCCTCAGGGTACAGCCTGTTCGCGCTCGGCGTCGGGAGCCTCCTGCTCGGATACTACACCTTGGTCAAGTGGAACCGCCAGCGCAGGTGACGCTGCGAGCATACCCCCGCCATCCCCGGCCCGGTTATCCCGGTTATCCCTGTTATCCCGGTTATCCCGGGGCTCCCGGCACTTCTGGCTCCGGGATGGGCTTTTCCCACATGGCTCCGGGCACCTCCCAGTGCCCATTCCCAGTCCCATTCCCAGTCGCTCCCAGTCCCATTCCCAGTCGCTCCCAATTCTCCCAGTCCCATCCCAGTCCCGTTCCCGTGCAGGCGGTTGCTGATCGAGGAGCTGGAGGCTCGGATCGCGCTGATGCCGCTGCTGCAGGCGGAGTCCGACCGCAGGTACGGGAACGGCGGGATCCCCTGGGACTGGGATCGCCTTTTGTGGGATTGGGATCACCCCTTATGGGATTGGGATCGCCCCTGGAAACTGGGAACACTCTCTGGGGTTGGGATCCCCTTTGGGATTAAGATCCCCTTGGGACTGGGATCACACCTGGGATTGGAATCACACCTGGGATTGGGATTATCCTTGGGATGGAGATCACCCTTTATGGGATTGGGATTCCCTCTGGGACTGGGATCCCTCTCTTTGGGGGTGGGATCCCCTCTCCCTGCCCTCTGTCCCACAGAACTCTCCGGATGCTGCGGGAGAACCTGGACGAGGAGGCCAAGATCATGCGGGACGTTCCTGGCTGGAAGGTTCGGGATTCCCAGTGGGAATTATGGGGGGTGGGGGGGGATTCCCCTTTGTGATCCCATGGGATCCAGGCAACCCAAATGATCTGGTGGGATCCATCCCGAGGGATTCGGCTCCATGGGATCCCCTGGAAATCTGGGATCACTCCAGGCTGGAAGGTTTGGGACTCCCAGTGGGAATAATGGGATTTTGGGATTCCTGGGGGAAAAAGGGGCAGGACAGGGGAGCTGCCTCTCTGAGATTCCCCTGGGATTTGGGATCACTCCAGGCTGGCAGAATCCCTCGGGAATGTGATCCCTCACCCGCCCCGGGGTGGCTCCTCCTGCAGTTCCTGACACAATTCCCTACAATTCCCAGTGCAATTCCCAGCACAATTCCCGGCAGGATTCCCGTTTTTCCAGGTGGGAGAATCCCGTTTCCACACGGATCGCTGGGTGCCCCCCACCCTGGACGAGCTCTATTTCCTGCGGCCCCAGGCCGAGCTGGACCGCCAGAACTTCGGGCTGCAGAATTACGTCTGACCCCCCAAAATCCCCAAATCCTGCCCTTTCCCAGCTTTTCCCCCAGCTTTCCCCCCGTCTTTTCCTGTTTTCCAGGCTGTTTCCAACCCCCCTTCCATCCCGAGCTTGTTCCAACTTCTGTTCGTTAATAGTTAATAAATAATTAATAAATAAATGAAATAAATGCATAAATGCTTTTGGGATTGGGAACAACCCCCTGGAGATTGGGGATTCCCCTTTGGGATTAGGAACCCCCCTGGGAATTTGGGATCCCTCTTTGGGAATTGGGATCCCGCTGTGGGATTGGGAACCGCCCTGGAAATTGGGGATCTCCCTTTGGAACTGGGGTCCCTCTTTGTGAATTGGGATTCCCCTCTGGGAATTCCAGATCCTCCTTGGGAATTTGGGATCCCCTTTGGGATTGGGAACCGCGTTTCTCTGGACAACCCCCTGTCTCCCCCTGAAACTGGGCAGCTCCCGACGGAATTTCCTGGGAATGCGGGCTGGGAATTTGGGATGGAGGGAGGGGCCGTGTCCATGTCTCCCCCACCGCGTGTCCCCCGATCCCGGGAATGCGAATCCCGCTGGGAAAGCACCGATCTGGGGGAGTTCAACACCAAAATTCCAGCACAGTGTGGAATTCCCGGGAGGGAAAATCACGGGCGGCGTTCCCGAGAGCGGGGCCGGACCAGGAGCGGGGCGGGGACACCGGAGCCACCTCCCCCGGGGCGGCACCGCCGAGAGCCGCCCCCGGTCCGGCCGGAGCATCCTCGGCATTCCCAAGGGATCCGGTGTGACCGGAGGATCCGCGGAGATTCCACCGGATTCGGTCCAGCTGGAAGCTCCGTGCAGCTCCCGCCGCGTCTGGTCCTGCCGAGGGCTCAGTTCGTCCGCCGTTCCCACCGGGTCCAGTCCAACCTCCGATTCCGCCGCCGCTCCCGTCCCGTTCCCCGCCATGAGCTCCTCGTCCTGCCCCTCCCGGGAGCCGCCCCGGTACCTCAGGTGAGCCCTCCCGGTAGAACCGGCAGCTCCGGGCGGTTCCGTTCAGCCGGGGCTGTCCCGGGACGGGCCCCGTTCTCGGTGCCGGGGGTGGAACGGGACCCTCCCGCTGTCCCGGGAGCTGCCCCGGGTCGGTTCCAGCACCCCCGGGCAGAGTCCCGGTCCTCACCGGTGTCCCCCGGGCCCGGGGAGGGTTCGGTACCCGCGGAACCGCCGCTGTTGCCGGAGCAACCGAATCGAGGGTCGGCATGGCTGTGGCCGGGATGGTCCGGGAGAGCGGGAGGGGACAGCGAGGGGACAGCGGAGACAGCGGGATGGGACAGGGGGGACAGGGGGGACAGTGGGGAGAGCGGGATGGGCAGTGATGGGGACCCTTGGGGACACCGGGGACACGTGGAGGGAATGGGGGGGTTCCGCGGCCGGGCTGTGCCGGTGGGGAGCGGCGGGACGGGAACGAGGAATGGGACCGGGATACGGGACTGGGATGGGAAGCTGGGATGTCAAACTGGAGCGTTGAGGTGGAATGCAGAGGGGACACAGAGCTGGGATAAAGTGTCGGGATGTGGGACTGGAATGCAGAACTGGGATGAGGGACTGGGATGTGGATCAAGGATGTGGAACTGGGATATGGATCGGGGATGTGGATCGGGGATGTGAGACTGGGATGCAGTGTAGAACTGGGATGTAGAACTGGGATGAGGGACTGGGCTCCGTTCCCGGGGAGCCCCGGCCGTGTCCCCGCCCCGGGGTCGCTGCCAGCGCGGGGCCGGGGCCAGGAGTGTCCCTGCCAGCAGCGATTGGGGACAATCTGCTCCGGGAACGGACGGGAGGAATTGTGCCTTTTGTTGGGTGAGGGACAACACAGCTGGGCCTGGCCACCCCCTGCCACCCCCGCTCGCCACGGGAGGGGCTCCGGGCCCGCTCGGTCCCTTCACATCCATTCCCCCCCCCTCCATGTCCCCAAGACCGCCCGTGTGGGGCTGGGACAGGGCTGGGACTCACTAGAGGGCACCAAAGGACTGGGGACAGGGATGGGACTGGATGGGACCAATGGGATTGGGATGCAACTTTCCTGGCAGGTTTATCAGGACAGCCAAGGGATGGGATGTGGGAATGGGGGAACCAGGAGTTTGCTGGGGCCGTGCTGGAATGACCAAAGGATTTCTGGGCTCTGCCAGGACGTGGCTGGTCCGTGGGGCAGCCTGGATGAGGTGGGACCACCCTGCAGCCTGGGACCCCGGCTCCTCTCGGGGGGGTGGGGACAGCTGTGTCACCTCTGATGGCCCCAAATCCCATCCCTGGGGTGGAGCGGGGTCCCGGCTCCTCTCCTGGGGAGTTTGGGACAGCTGTGTCACCTCTGATGTCCCCGAGCAGCCAGGCCGAGGCCGAGGCCATGCACAAGGAGCTGCTCGAGGATTATCGCTTCGGGCGGCAGCAGCTGATCGAGATCTGGGGACACGCCTGTGCCGTGGCTGTCACCAAGGTGGGGCTGGGGGCATCTCACAGGGGATGGGGACACCATGTCGGTGTTGGGGACACCACACCGGGGCTGGGGACATTTAAAAGGGCTGGAGACATCTCACCAGGGCTGGGGACACCACGCCAGTGTTGGGGACACCGCACCAGGGCTGGGGTCCCCATGGCGGGGGGAGGGGGCGATGCTCGGCCCTTCCTGCGGGTTGGGGGAGGGGAGGGAGCCATGGGGGGTCCCCAGGTGTCTCCAGGTGTCCCCAGGTGTCCCCGTGCCCTGGCGATGTCGCTGCTGCTGGGATGGGAGGAGGAGGAGGAGGAGGAGGAGGAGGAGGAAGCATCAAGGGCAGCTTTGTGCTGCCGAGAGCTCCGCGCCCGCCTCAGCTTTTCCATCGGCCCTTCCCTGCTATTCCCGAGGAACAGATATTTGGTGAAATATTGAAATATTTTGGTGCTGGAGCTGTTGCAGCATCCCTGACCCCACCTGGGGGGGTTCAGCATCCTCCTCTTCCTCAGGGACACCCCAGCTCCGGCTCCCCCCGGGGTGTCCCCGCTGCCAGGAGGTTCTTGGCCAGGGCCAAGGCTACCAGGGCCAGGGTTGGGCTACCAGGGCCGCGTCCTGCTCCGGGCACTGGGGATGGGTCCCGGAGCCAGGATCCATGAGCAGGAAAAAATCCGTCAGTGGATAAACAGAACCTCCTCCCTCCTTCCCTCCTTCCCTCCCTCCCCGAGTGGGATCCGGGAATGCGGGATGGGGTGGGGGGGGGGGGGGGCACGGGCACGGCCCTGGCCCGGGCAGCGTCCTCGGCCCACCCGGGACATCTCAGCTTGGGCATCATCCCAACTCCACCCGGGACATTTCCCTGGTCCCGGTTTGGGGATTATCCCGGTCCCAACTGGGAGATCACTCTGATCCCGGTGTGGGCATTTCCTCGATCGTACCACGGGCATTATCCCGATTCTACCCGGGACATCTTCCCGGTCCCACCCGGGACATGTCCCTGATCCCACCTTGGAATTCCAGCACAGGCACCACCCTCACCCCCCCGCTCCGCTGGCATCATCTTCATCCCACCCCTGGAGACGTCCTCATCCTCATCCCAGTTCGGCTCCTGTTTCATCCCACTCCGAGTCCTAGGGCTGCTGTGGATGCCAGCCCATCCCAATCCCGTAAATCCCATCCCATAAATCCCATCCAATTCCAATTCCAGTTTCATCCCATAAATCCCATCCCATTCCCATCCTGTTCCATGTGCCACCTCCATCTTACCCTGGGCGCTGTGTGACAGTGCCACCCCCCCGTGTGACAGTGCCACCCCCCCGTGTGACAGTGCCACCCCCGTGTCCCCGCAGGCGTTCCCGCTGCTGTCGCTGCCCCGCCGCCAGCGCACGCTGCTCGTGCTGTGCGGGCCGGCCCAGAACGGCGCCCTGGGGCTGGTGTGTGCCCGCCACCTGCGCACCTTCGTGGGTACCCCCCCCTCCTCCTCCTGCCCTTCATCCCCTCTTCATTTTTATTTTTATTTTATTTTAATGTTTTCCCCCCAGGATTACGAGCCCACCATTTTCTACCCCAAGCGCTCCCCGGACCCTCTGTTCCGCGATTTCACCACGCAGTGCGAGAAGATGGACATCCCCTTTCTGTCCTACCTCCCCACCGAGGTGACCCCAAATCCCCTGGGTACCCTCTTCTCCTTCCCTTTCCCCCCTTCCGAACCCCAAAATTCCCCCAACTCCCCCAGATCAGATTTTGTTCCTCTCCTCCTTCCCCTTCTCTCTCCTGAACTCCAAAATCCCCCCAAACTGGATTTTCTCCCTCTTTCCCTCCCCTTTTTTCTCTCCCCGAATCCCAAACCCCCCAGATCAGATTTTCTCCCCTTTTCCCTCCCCTTTTCCCCCTTCACGAGCCCCAAAAATCCCCAAAATTCCCCTCCAAACTCCCCCAAAATCAGATTTTCTCCCCTTCTCCCTCCCCTTTCCCCCCCTCCCCGCCCCATCCCGCCGCCGCTGGGATCCCGGGGATTCCATGAAATCCAGCTCCCGCTGCCTGCAGCCACCGGCTCTGTTATTTTTGGAATCTCCCAGCGCTGGGAACGGAGGAATTTGACCCAAAAATCGGAGCCCTGGCCCGGGCCGCTCGTCTCGGCGTGCCGGGCTCGGCTCCTCCGCCCCTCCCTCGGTGCCGGCTCCACTTGGGGGGGCGGATTTTTTTTTTTTTTTTTAATTTAATTTTTTTTTTTTTTTTTTTTTTTAGGAAAACGGGGTTTGTGGCGTCATGGGGTGACACGGGGACACCTCTCAAAAATGTCGCTGTCGCTTCCAGGTGCAGCTCATCAATGATGCTTACAACGCCGTGGTGGACGCGGTGCTGGGAGCTGAGGTGGCCGAGGTGGCCCAGGGGACAGAGCCGTGCGCGGCCATGCTGGCCACGCTCAGGCACATCCGAATCCCCATCGTCAGCCTGGATGTCCCCTCAGGTGCTCCCCGATGTCTCCCGATGTCCCCCTGGTGTCCCCCTGGTGTCCCCCTGGTGTCCCCCTGGTGTCCCCCTGGTGTCCCCACGGTGTCCCCCGGTGTTCCCCAGTGTCCCCGTGTCCCCCCGATGTCCCCGCAGGTATTCCCCTCCCGCTGCTCCTCCCACGCCGCTGTCACCGCGCCAGTGGCGGTGTCACCTCGGGCTCAGCGCCCGGAGTCCCCGAGGTGACCCTGGCAGAGTGGGGACATCCCCGCCCCCCCCGCCCCCCCGCGACGATCCTGACGAATTTTGGGGCATCCACGGGAAATAACAAAGTGCCCGGCCGGAGACATGACGTCATCCCCAGATGTCGTGCCCAGATGTGTCATTCCCAAAGAGCCGCGTGTCTGGGATTGTCATCACCCGTGTGTCCCCACCCCGCCCTGGCCGTGTCACCTTCCAGCTCCTGGCACGGCCGCGGGTGGAACCGTGGGGGACACTGGTTCAGCGTGCGGGGACAGCGGCGGTGCCACCTCCCTGTGTCACCTCCCCATGACCCCCCTGTGCTCTCCCTGTGTCACCCCCCGTGCCCTCTCTCTGCTCCCAGTGTGTCGCCTGAGGTCACCCCTGAGCCCCTCTTTGTCTCCACAGGTCACCCCTGAGCCACTCCGTGTGTCCCCAAGGGCGGCACGTGTCCCCTGGTGCCACCTCTGTCCCCTGCCCGTGTCCCTAAGGGTGGGCTGTGTCCCCTGTTGTCCCCCCTGTCCCCTCTCAATGTCACCACAGGTTGGGCTGTGTCCCCTGGTGTCCCTTGTCCCCCCGGGTGTCCCCCTGCCCCTGTCCCCAGGGTGGGCTGTGTCCCCGCTGTCCCCTGCTGTCGCCGCTGTCCCCCGCGGTGTCCCCTGACCCTGTCGCTGTCCCCAAGGATGGGCTGTGTCCCCTCTGTTCCTTGTTGTCCCCGCTGTCCCCACTGTCCCCGATGTCCCCCTGATCCTATTCCTGTCCCCCAGGGTGGGCTGTGTCCCCTGTTGTCCTCGCTGTCGCCTGTTGTCGCCGCTGTCCCCCGCGGTGTCCCCTGACCCTGTGGCTGTCCCCAGGCTGGACGGCCGGCCCTGGTGACAGCGGTGACATCAGCCCGGCCGTGCTGGTGTCGCTGGCGGCCCCCAAGGAGGTGGCGCGGCGCTTCCAGGGACGGCGACATTTCCTGGCCGGGCGCTTCGTGCCCGAGGAGCTGCGGCGGAAATTTGGGATCAGCCCGGCCGAGTACCCGGGCAGCGACTGCGTGGTGGCCCTGTGACCCCAAATAATAATATGTGACCCCAAAAACTGCCCCGGCGGGACTCCGAAAAATGCCCTGGTGACCCTGAGACCCCAAAAAATGCTCTGGTGGCCCTGTGACCCCAAATAATAAAGCAGTGGTGGCCCTGGGACACCCCAAATAAAACATTGGTGGCCCTGTGACACCCAAAAGAAGGTGCTGGTGGCCCTGGGACACCCCAAATAAAACATTGGTGGCCCTGAGACCTGGAATAAAATGTGATCTTGTGACACCCCAAAATCCAGCGCGGGTGGCCCCTCAGCGGGGGCTGTTTGGAGATGGGGACCTCGGTGGCCCCGGTTTGGGTTAGGGACTCGTCCTGAGACTCAATTCAAGATTTGGGGACCCCCTGGAGGTTCCACCACCCCTCTGTTGGGGACAGAGCTGTGTCACCTCCCCTATCACCCATCTACGGCGACATCGGGGACCCGTGGGGCTGAAACACCACAAAAAAACCCACAAAAACTCCCACAAAAACCCCTGGAAAGGGACATGGGATGTCCCTAAGGGTGCGGAGCCACCCCTGGGGACTGTCCCCTGTCCCCTCTGTCCCGTCTTTGGGGTCTGGGTGCCCGTGACCCCAAATCCCGCCCGGGGGTTCGGGAGGCTCCGGAATGCCGGGAATTCGCGGGGAATTCGCCGGGATTTCCGCTGGCCGGGGCTGCGCGCTCATCCCAAATCCTCTCCAGTTCCTCCCACTGCACCCAAATCAGAGAGAATTTCCAAATTTCGCGGATGGATTTGGGATAGAAAAGGGATGAGAGGGAATTCGGGGGCGGATTTGGGAGCTTTTGGGATGTTTTGGGATGTTTTGGCTGCGGGTCGGGGGCTCCCTCGTTCATCCCAAATCCCCTCCAGCCCTTCCCAGTTCCTCCAGTGCCCCCAAATCAGGGCGAATTCCCAGATTTTGATGGATTTGGGACAAATGGGGCGTGTAGGGGGGATTTGGGGACCTTCCAGTTCCTCACAGTCCATCCCAGTCCCCCTCCAATCCTTTCCAGAGGGCGAATTCCCAAATTTCAGTGATGGATAAATAAGGAATGTGGGGGGATTTGGGGGAATTTGGGGGAATTTGGGGGAATTTGGGGCTCCCAGTTCCTCCCAGTCCATCCCAGTCCCCCTCCAATCCCTTCCAGACGGCAAACTCCCAGATTCCAGCCATACATTTGGGTCAAAAACCGGAGATTTGAGGGGAGGATAAACCGGAGAATTTGGGAAAATCCGGGACATCCCCAACCTCCCCGCAGTGTCCCCACTTTGTCACCTCCATATCCTCAAGGGCACCGCCACCATCTCCAGCCCTCCGTCAACTCCTTTTTTTTTTTCCTTTTCCTTTTTTTTTTAAATTTTTTTTTCCCTCTCTCCCTCCCCGCCGCATTCCCGAGCGCATCCAATTTTAGCAGCTCGACGAAAACAAACGCGGGCCCCGGGCAGGGCTCCCGTCCCTGACTCGGCTCCAGGAATCGCTGGAAAAGAGGCGAACCCTCGCCCTATAAAAACCGGGCCAGCTCCAGCCGAGTCCGCAGTCGCCACCCGGAGCAGCCATGGCACAGCTGGCACAGCTGGCACAGCTGGCACAGCTGCTGGCACAGCTGGCGGTCCTGGCACAGCTGGGAGCACCGCGCGGGGCGGGGGCTGCAGGTAAAAGAAAAAATGGGGGTTTGGGCTTTTTTTAATGGGATTTTGGGGGGTTTCTAGTGGGAATGAGGAGGGGGAAGGGGGTGGGGGTGGTGGCACGGGGTGGTAGCACCGGGTGGGGTGGGACAGATGGCACCTGCCAAGGGAGTGAGGTGGATGGGGATTTGGGAATTTTGTCCTGGCCGGGATGGCGGTGCTGGAGGGAGAAGGAAAAGGGCGAAAAAGGGCAAAAAAAAGGGAAAAGAGAAAAGGGAAAAGCGAAAAGGATGGGACAGGGACAGGGATGGGACAGGGACACCTGGCACCACAGAAGCCCCAGCTGGACCCCGTGGGGATCACCCAAAGTCCCTGTGCCACCGAGTCGGAGATGTCCCCGTTCTGGGGACAAATCCCAGCCCCCTGCAGGTGCCACGGGGGCCGTTGTCCCCTGGGGAGGGGACAGGAGGTGGCAGGGTCGGTGCCCCCACCATGGAGTGCCCGTGGGGTGCCCATGGTGATCCAGGGTGTCACCAATGGGTGACAGGGGACAGAGGTGGCTCCAGGGACATTCGTGCCACATCCATCCCCTCTGGAATTGCTGAATCCCGTGGGAAGACCCAGCCCTGGGGACACGGGGACAGCTGTGGGGACACCCCAGCTGTGCACCCAGAGCCCAATTACCTGTCACCTCCCGCTTTGGGGCTCGGTGACACCGTGTTGCTGGCCTCAGTGGCAGGGGATGTGGCTCGTGTCCTTGTCCAGGAGCTGGCCGGGAATGTTTCCCGTGGATGTGGGATGGGTTCAAACCTCGGCCACCCCTGGGGCCACCCCTGGGGCCACCCCTGGCTACCAGGACATCGCGACCCACCCTCCGTGACACCACCAGCCTGGCCTTGGGGACATTGCAAATCCTGTCCCCTGTGACTGGGGGGCTCAGGGCAGGGGACACGGTGGGGACGGACCCTGGGGATGTGGCAGTGCCACCTCTGTGTCCTCCAGAGCCACTGGAGAACGACTCGGAGCCGGGCAAGGCTGGCACAAAACCCCGGAAAGCCGCGCCCGACCTGGAGGAGCTGGACCTGGGCACGGCAGGTACGGCCACCCCCAGGGCCCTGCTGGCCACCGTGTCCCCTGCAGGATCCCCAGGGGCTGTGCCACCCTGTGCCACCCCACTGTGACATTCCCATTGACCCAGGGGACAATTTCCGCCTCCTGTCACCTCCCTCTGACCTTCAGTGGTGACCGCCGTGACATTGTCACCCCGTGTCACCCTTGGTGGTGACCATCCTGCCTTTCCCATTGAGCCAGGGGACAATTCCCAGCCAAGTGACCCTCAGACGTGACCGACCCTCCATCCCCACTCCCTCTGCCCACTCTGTCCCCACACTGTCCCCACGCTGTCCCCAAACCATCCCAAAACCATGCCCATGCCATCCCCACTCCATCCCCTCTCTGTCCCCTCTCTGTCTCCACCTTGTCCCCACCCCATCCTCACACTGTCCCCTCTCTCTCTGTCCCCTCTCTCTCCCCTCTCTGTCCCCACCTCCCAGGTAAAGGTGCCGAGTGGACATCGTGGTTCAACATCGACCACCCGGGCGGTGACGGTGACCACGAGAGCCTGGCAGCCATCCGCTTCTACTACGGTGCCCGCGTGTGTGCCCGCCCGGTGGCCATCGAGGCCCGCAGCACTGACTGGCAGTTGCCCGAGGCCCTGGGCCAGCTGGTCCATGCCAGCCCCAAGCGCGGCTTCCGCTGCCTGCACCGCGAGCAGCCCCCGGGCACGGCCTGTGCCAACTACCACGTGCGCTTCCTGTGCCCGCTGGGTGGGTACCTGCGTACCTGGGGGGTGCCTGGGATACCTGGGGGGTACCTGGGCACCTGGGGGTAGCTGGGGTACCTGGGGTACGTGGGGGGCACCTGGGGAGTGCCTGGGGTATTCCGGGGGCAGCTGTGTCACACCTCTGTCACACCTATCACACCTGTGTCCCACCTGTGTCCCACCTATGTCACATCTGTGTCTCACCTGTATCTCACCTGTGTCTCACCTGTCACACCTGCGTCACATCTGCGTCACATCTGTATTTCACCTGAATCCCACCTGTATCACACCTGTGTCTCACCTATGTCATACCTGTGTGTCACCTCTATCTCACCTGTCTCACCCGTATCTCACCTCTATTTCACCTGAATCCCACCCATAGCCCACCTGTATCCCACCTGTATCACAGCTGTATCTCACCAGTGTCTCACCTGTATCTCATCTCTAGTTCACCTATGTCCCACCTGTGTCACACCTGAGTCCCACCTGTGCCCCGCCTGTGGCGCAGCGCAGGGGTGAGATCACCGCTGCCCCTCTTACCCCGCGGTGTGCGCCACTCCCAGTCACCCCCAGTATCCCGACAGGACACATTTACTGGTCGCACTGGTCGCCCTGGAGTCCCTGCTCTCGCAGCACCTGCGGCACCTGGGGCACGCAGAGCCGCACGCGCACCTGCCGCAGCGCGCGCAGCCCCGCCCCGCGCAAGGAGCTGCGCTGCCAGGGCAAGGCCACGGAGCGGCGCGCGTGCAGTGGGCCCTGCGCAGGTACGGACACTCACCTGGGTGCAGGTAGGGACACTCACCTGGGCGCAGGCACGGACACTCACCTGGGCGCAGGTAGGGACCCAAAACCCTGCCCAGGTACGGACACTCACCTGTGCACAGGTACAGATCCCTATGCCTGAGAGGATAGCAGGTAGGGACATCTGAACCCCCCAGTGCTACCGACCTGTGGGCCGGGCGTGCAGTGCCAGGCCCTGCCCAGGTACATGACACTCACCCGTGTGCAGATAGAGACCCCTGGACCGCTCAGTGCCACTCACCTGTGCACAGGTGGGCACCCCACAATCCTGCGGTGCCACTCACCTGTGCCCTGGGTGCTGCTGAGGAGGGGACACGGGGTGGCCGCAGAATCGCTGCTGGAGATGGCCGTGAGGTGGCACAGGGGTGGCACAGGGGTGGCACCGCAGGTGACAAAGGCACGGGTCTCTCCAGGGACCTGAATCCCCCTCTCAGCCCCCACGGAAGGAGCAGGTGGGAAAAGCCACCTGGTGCCACCTGGTGCCACCCACCTCTGGCTCCTCTGCCCCGGGGATGTGACTTGACATTTTGGGGGACCCGATTCCCACCGGGAATGTCCCCTCAGAGCCCACCTGGACGGAATGGGGTTCTTGGGGTCCCTGTTCCCGCAGCTGCGGCAGCTCCGGAAAGCGCGTCCGGCGCCGGAGCTGCAGAACCTCCAAGAGCCCGCCGTGTCCCGGCCGTGCCACCGAGACGCAGAAATGTCCCCCGTCACCTTGCCCAGGTAACACCCTCAGGTGCTCCCCAGGTGCCCCCTCCGCGGTGCCACCCACCCCTCCCTGCCCTCTGCGGGCTCTGAGCCGCGTCCCCCGCACCCCATCCCGCAGGTTGCCCCGGGCACACGCTGCATGGCACCGTGGTGACATCCAGCGGGGTGGCACTGCCCGATGCACGCATCTACCTGGATGGCCAGCCGGACGTGCTGCTAGCCCGCAGCGATGCCCAGGGGCGATTCACGGCCTCGGGGCTGTGCCCCGGCCCCGCCGCCAACCTCAGTGCCCACCGCGATGGCTTCGCCCCGGGGCTGGCACCGATTATCACCAACGGCTCAGGCGTGGCCGTGGCGCACCTGAGGCTGCGGCGGCTCGGTGAGAAGGCGGGGGTGGCTTTGGGGGCACCCCTGGCAGGGCGAGGGCTAGCCTGGGGTGCCCATGGGCTCGCTGGCTATTTCGCCCCTTTGCAGAGAAGCCCTACATGGTGCTGCACCCCGCGGCCAAGGTGCGGGAAGCCGGGCAGGACGTGACATTCTGCTGCAAAGCCTCGGGCACCCCCGCGCCCCAAAAATATTTCTGGTGAGGTGGCACAGCGGGCGGAGCGGGCACAGGCGGTGCTGGTGGTATTGTCCCCGCTGAGCCCTGTCGCTTTGTCGCTTTGTCGCCGCAGGTATCACAACGGGACGCTGCTGGAGGGGCCAGCTCAGCGCACCAGCGGTCGCCTGGAGCTACGGGGGCTGGCACCGCAGCAGGCTGGCACCTACCACTGCAAAGCCAGTTCCGAGGCCGGTGCCATCCGCTCAGCGCCCGCACAGCTCACCGTGCTGGGTGAGGGAGCACTGGGGGGGCTCCTCCGGGGTGGCGAGACCCCCCCTGACCCCTCTAATGCCACCCCCTCCGTGCCCCCCTAGCCCAGGGCCAGCAGAGCTGCAGGGCGGAGCCGGAGCCCAGCCTGGTGGAGTTGCCCAGCGAGTGCCCGCAGGATGCCAGCGGCTCTCGCTTCTACAACGTGGGGCGCTGCCCGGCCTCGCCGTGCCCGAGGGGTCCCGCAGAGCCCGGGGGGTGCGGGGAGGAGTCGGGGCGCTGCTGCGGGGTGCGCAGGATGGAGCTGCGGGAGGTGCCGTGCGCCGGCTCCGTGCTGCCGGTCAAGGTGGTGGCCGAGTGTGGCTGTGGGCCCTGTGCCCAGCCCAGGGTGCTGGTGCAGGGCCGGGTGACGGCGGCGGACACCGGGGAGCCGCTGCGCTTCGGCCACATCTTCCTCGGGGCGAGAAAAGTGGGGTTCACCGGCTACCAGGGCTCCTTCACCATCGAGGTGCCGCCGGACACGCGGCGTTTGGTCACTCGCTTTGTGGACGGCCAGCAGCGCTTGGTGGACACGGTCAAGGTGCTGCCCTTCGACCGGCGAGGAGGAGCCGTGTACCAGGAGGTGAAGATGCTGCGAAAGAAGGAGCCGGTGGAGCTGGACGGTGGCCAGAGCAACGCGATCCCTCTGGGAGAATCCGGCGGTCGGGAGCCCGTCGGGGAGCTGGTGCTGCCGGCCGGAGTTTTCCTCCGGCCATCCGGGGAGGTTTTTAACGGCACGGTCAAAGCCAGCGTCACCTTCGTGGATCCCAGGGACATGGCCACGGCCAGCGCAGCCTCCAGCGATCTGAGCTTTGCTAACTCCGAGGGGGAAATCGTCCCCCTGCGCACCTACGGGATGTTCGCCGTGGATTTCCGAGAAGGAGACAGCGGCGCGGCGCTGCAGGCGGGGCTGGTGCAGGTGAGGATGGACGCGGGGCAGGTATGGATGGCGGAGCACCTGGACAAGATGAAGTTGTGGTCCTTGAACCCCGAGAGCGGCCTGTGGGAGGAGGAGGGCGTGCTGAGGCCGGCCGGGGGTAGCCGGAGGAAAAGGGAGGAGAGAACATTCCTGGTGGGCAACCTGGAGATCCGCGAGCGGCGCCTCTTCAACCTGGACGTGCCCGAGGATCGCCGCTGCTTCGTCAAAGTCAGGGCTTACAGCAACGAGAAATTCAACCCCTACGAGCAGCTGGAAGGGGTGGTGGTCAGCCTCATCAACTTGGAGCCACAGCCCGGCTTCCCCAGCAACCCGCGGGCTTGGGGCCGCTTCGACAGCGTGGTCACCGGTCCCAACGGCGCCTGCTTGCCCGCTTTTTGTGATAGCCAGCGCCCCGATGCCTACACGGCCCTGGTCACGGCCACGCTGGGTGGCGAGGAGCTGGAAGCAGTGGCTTCCAGCCCTAAGCTCAACCCTAACGCCGTGGGGGTGGCGCAGCCCTACTTGGGCAAGCTGGGCTACCGGCGCTCGGATCACGAGGACGCGGCGCTGAAGAAGACGGCGTTCCAGATCAACGTGGCCAAACCCGACCCCAACAACGTGGACGAGAGTAACGGGCCCGTCTATTCCTACCGGAGCCTCCGGGAGTGCGAGGAGGCGCCGGTCAGCGCCAACCACCTGCGCTTCTACCGCGTGGAGGTGGACAAGTACGAGTACAACGTGGTGCCCTTCAAGGAGAGCGATGTCACCTCCTGGACCGGTGACTACCTGGCGTGGTGGCCCAACCCACAGGAGTTCCGGGCGTGTTTTATCAAGGTGCAGCTGGAGGGGCCGCAGGAGTACATGGTGAGGTCGAGGAATGTCGGGGGCAGCCACCCCCGCACTCGGGGACAGCTCTACGGGCTGCGGGACAGCCGGAGCGTGCGGGATCCGCTGCTGGACAACACCTCGGGAGCCTGCGTGGAGTTCAAGTGCGGCGGGATGCTCTTCGACCAGAACCTGGTGGACAGAACCCTGGTGTCCATCATCCCCCAGGGCAGCTGTCGCCGCACGGCCATCAATGGGCTACTGGGGGACTACCTGAGTCGCCACCCACCGCTGGCCGAGAACAACCACACGGGAGCTTTCTCCATGCTGGCCCCTCTGGACCCGCTGGGTCACAATTACGGCATTTACACCGTGACGGACCAGAACCCTCGGCTGGCCAAGGAAATCGCCATCGGCCGCTGCTTCGCGGGCACCTCGGATGGATTCTCCAGGGAGATGAGAGCGGGTGAGGGCACGGCCGTCACCTTCAGCTGCCAGGAGCGGCCACCGGGCAGGGAAAGTTTCTTCCAGCGCCTGCTGATCGCTCCGGCTGAGGCGCTGGAGGAGATCCGCAGGGAAATGGGGAGATCCGAGCTCCGCCGCGCTCCCCCCGAGGTGATGGACTTCGCCTCCGGAGCCCCCGGACCCACCCGCAGGACCCCCAGTAGCCAGCGGAGACCGGGCCGGCTGAGGGGACAGCGCTGAGTCTCCTCCGTGTCCCCTCCCCGGCTCTGCTTTGTCGCCTCCCCCCTCCTTTTTTCCCCCTTTTTGTCGCTTTTGGCCGCGCTCATTTATAACGCCCGAAGGTTTGGGGGGACACGCGGAGCTGGGGGGGGAAACAGGGGGTAGGGGACAGCGGGGACGTGGGG